TTAATGGAGAGCATAATATGTGCTAGGCACTTCTGCTTTACATGTGGAGTTCATTTTATCTTCACAATAACCTAATGAAGTAAGAACTATTATTAACCTCAAATCATAAGTAAAGAAGTTGCAACATAGAAAGGTGAAAACAAAACAAAACAAAAAAACCAACTAATCAACCAAGCAAATAAACAAAAACAAACAAACAAAAAAACTTTTCAAGGTATCACAGTCAGGAAGCAGTAGAGTCAGCATTTAAATCCAAGTAGCCTGATTCCATAGGTTAGGTGTGTCACTTTTGGAAAAGGTATTTTTCTGGTGTGTAGGTGGGTATGTGAATGAGGGAGAGAAAGAGAGAGAGAAACAGAAGAGAGAGAAGGAGTGAGGGAGGGAAAGAGAGAGTGAGAGAGGGAGAGAGAGAAGAAGCAAGGGAAGGAGGGAGTGAGAGACAGAGAGACAGAGAGGAGAGAGAGCATTCTAGACGTGTGAGTTGCCTTTGGAGCACTGTAGTGTAGATTTCCAGTAGAAGATAGGATAGGTAGGCTGTAGCTTAGGAGGAAGTGTTGGACTTGAAATACAATTCTGTAAGTGCAGTGCACAAGGCATGGAGTGGTATGACATTTCCTAGGAGAGGAGCCCTGGACAACACCGGCATTTATGCAATAAACTTTAGCAAAGGACTTTATAGAGGGCATTGGGAGAGAATATTCCAGGTAGGGTTCATGCAAGGTGGAGAGCAATTTCTCTACCTTCCTTTGAGTTTGCTTCAGCATCATCTTTGGCTTGTGGGCCAGGTGTGTGTGTGTGTGTGTGTGTGTGTGTGTGTGTTGAGCCCCAAGATGGAGTTCCTGGCTTCTGTACAGTAGCCTCATCACTAGGGCCAGAGGCCCAGAGTGAAAAGGAACATGTGGTTAAGCTCCAAGTCCCTGGACTTTAGAAAAAAATTAGCAAGCATGCATTTTAGGCTGGTTACCCATGAATTAGACCTGAAACAAGTGGTTTATTCTGAGGTGATTAAAGAAGCTCCAGGAAGGGAATGTCTTCATCTCTACGCCATGATTTTTTGAGAGTACTCACAGGTCATCTATTAGTTTCAGCATTTTTTGCCACCTGGAGAGTCTTAGAATTTTAAAAACAATCAAGTCCTGTTTTTTTTCCTTTAACGGTTCTTTCCTCGATTTATCTCTCCTTTCTCACATTTTACTGTTAGCAGCAAGATGCTGCTGGCAGTGTCTTCAACACTTTGTTGGAAATCACTTTAGCTGGATAAACAGGTTCATTCCTCTTAAGCTTTGCTCTCCCCTTACAGTAGATGACAATTTTGCTAATCTTTCTGCCACTACATAAAAAGGACCCCCTGTGTTCCAGTTTTCAGTAATATGTTCCTTATGTCCTTCTGAGCCCTTACAGGCAGGGTTCTTGTTCCCATATTTTTGCTAATAGTCTGTTCAGAGAAATGTAAGCTTTTCTGTCATGCTCCTCAAAATTCTTCTAATCTCTACCTGCTGCCTAGTCCCAAGGCCACTCCCACATTTTTAGGAGTTTGTTACTATAGCACCCCACTTCTTGTACTAAATGCTCTATTGGTCAGGGTTCAACTAGAGAAGCAGAACTAGTAAGAAATATGTACATGTATAGATATATATTAAAGAATGTGTTACAGGGTCATGTAAGCTTACTGGGTAAGCTGTCTATCTCATCTGATTCTAAAGATTGAGGTCCAAAAGCAGAAAGCTGGGAAAGGAAGATCATGAGCAGGCTGCAACCCACAAGCATGAGTTGACATCTGTGAACATGGACTGGAACTTGTGTTCATATTTGCTCCCTCTGACCTTGGTGACAAGATTATCGTGAAGAAGTTGGGGCCCTCCATCATGGAGTAAATCTAGCAAATTTAGCTAGAGGAGACAGAGAAGCTAAGGAGTACCAAAGGCAGGGAGAGAAGTTGCTCACCAGTTGCTGCTTCATGCCATGGAGGTAAATTAGCAGATCAGCTACAAGGTGTGTGAGCTACAAAATGGCTGCTGATTCATCTCTGCCTTCCTGCACCCCAGATTCTCCTAAGAATCTCCTTTGTGCTCCCCTTCATAGGAACACACAAGAAAGTAAATTATAAAAAATGTATTTCAGCCTACAACATTGATATATTATGAAGCCATCACACTCATGCTCCTGTCACACTAGTTACAATTCCCTTATCACTCTTTGTGTAACTGTTCTCTTTTCCTGGATTGCCTTCCCTTTTTTCTCCTGTCTCTGTCTCAACCTGTGTCCCAGCTCTGATAGAAACTCCTCTGTGAATAGTCTCAATAAGTCCCCACAATATCTAAAAATTCCTTCCATCACAGCAACAGTCACAGGGTATGACTTTTATTTGTTTATATGTCCATCTTCCACACTGGACTTTGAGCTACTTAGAATAATATTCCATATTTTCTTTTATCTTCAAAAGTTAATGCCTAGCACATAGTAGTTGCTTAATAAGATTGAATGAATTAAGTAAGTAACAACGTCTCTGATTCTTAGTGAGTTTTGCATGAAATAATGTTTGAACACCTGAAGCCACTGTAAGGATGAACTATGCTAATGTATGTGAAGCACCTGGTTCTATGTAGGTTATTATCAAAGCTCCAGAATTATCTGCTTGGGCCTGGCCCTGTGATGTGGCAGATGGCCACTGAGGGCCTCTCTACCTTCAACACTGTGCCCTGACAATGTCTTCATCCTAGAACTGGTCAGAGAAATGGTAAAATCTTTTAAAATTGTTTAAAAATTATTATTTTTTTGTGTGATTGGGATCTTGCTGTGTTGCCCTGGCTGACTTCAAACTCCTGACCTCAAGTAATTCTCCCAAAGTGCTGGGATTACAGGTGTGAGCTACCGTGCTTGGCCTGAGATGGCAAAATCTTTTTTCTTTGAGTTGAAGTCTCACTCTGTCACCCAGGCTGGAGTGCAGTGTCACACTCACAGCCACCCCAGCATCGACCTGCTGGGTTCCTGCAATCCTTCCACTTCAGCCTTCTTACCAGCCAGAATTGTAGGCGTGCGCTACCACACCTGGCTAATTTTTTTGATTTATTGTAGAGATGAAGTCTTGCCAAGTTGCCCGGGCTGGTCTCAAACCTGTGGGCTCAGGCAATCCACTTGCTTTGGCCTCCCAAAGTGCTGGGATTACAGGCTGAGCCATTGAGCCTGGCTGATAGTAAAATCTTTAATAGTGCTACATATTTGCAAAACTCAGGCAGGAGATCAGGAGATGCACAGATGAAATTTCCTCTTTGAGAAGAGAGACGCATGATCCTTGCACACAAAGATTCCCCAGTTAACTGGAGATAAAATGCTCTCAACCTTCTGGAAATCACAGTAATAGGGATATATTGCCTATGGGTCTGAAGAGTTAGTGTGTCACTTGACCTACACCATGCTCAAAGGAGTTAGCAGGACAGGCTCAGGTCCAGATAAGCAAAATATTGTCTGTCTATTTGGTTACTCAACACATTTATTGTGGACCCACAATTTTACTAGTGCTGTCTTCATTGCTGGGAATACAGTTAATACATGTAAAATGTTTAGAATAGTGCTTGGTGCTTATAAACCCAGTAAATATTTACTATTCTGCTTATTTATGATACCTACAGTTCTCAGTTGAAGCTTTAATCTTTGTTAATGTGCAGGTGTTACCTATTCTCTCTCTCTCTGAGCACTTTGTTAGTTTCTATGAAGTGTCATTTGATGATCATCCATCTGATGCCTGAGTAATTGTTATAATTTATTCTGTATTTATGTGTCAGGAACTGTGCTACATACTTCAATTTCACAAGTGTTGCTATTAGGTTTAGATGTATGTAACAAAAAACACATCTGTTTTCTTTTCATCATGTAAAGGATATGTAGAGGTAGTAGCCTGAGCTAGTACAGTGGTGATACAGCATCAACAGGAACCCAGGACATTTTCTATCTTTTTGTTTCACTAGTTGCAAGGGAACTTGGGAAATGTAGTATTTATCTGGGGGCATTGTTGCCCTGAATGAAAACAGGACTCTCTTACCAAGGAGGAGGAGAGGATGGAGGTTGAGTGGCCTCACAGTCTGTCAGACCTGAGTATTTGATTCTGTCAGAAGCCAAAAGATGACCTTGCCTCTGGATCCTTGAGTTTTTGTGAAACATGAGTATAGTACAAGATGTCAACAGATATCACAAAGGTAAAATCCTTGCTCAAAAATGACTGAGAGGATGGGTCATTCCTGACCAGTTGTTATAGGGAATCTTGTAAGTTGGTGTGCCGATCCAGGAATGAATTTTGAAGATTGATTCATAGACATTTAGTGTCTAAAAATAAGATATTGGCCAGACCAGGTGTTTCTGTTTATCTCTGCTCTAGTCATTGAGAAAGAAAATTTTTTTCTCTGTGTCAACAGAGAGACAGATGTCAGTATGAAAAGGAAAGACGCAGAGGGACAGTAGGCACCTCTTGCTAGGACCTAATTCACACTCAGGGAACATTTGATCCTCTGGGCTCTGAGGGAAGTTTAATTGAAATGCAAAAACCAAAGGTCAAAACCATGTAAAATTTAAAGGCCATTTTTACTATTTGACAAGGAACAAATTGTAACTTTATATTGCTTTTAGATGCAATTTTGTTCAGTGAAATTAGATTATACTCAACTAAAGCACCTTCTTTAGAGCTTTTAGATTAAATATTAGAACTTATTAGAAGGACCTTGGTTTCGTCAGTAAATACCAAGGAAAATATTTGGTGGGAAATGCAGCTGCCTAATTTGCATTAATACAAATGAGAACTATTAAGCTTAGTTGATTAGCATATTCATATGTACTGTAGTCCCTATGTATTTAAAATAGATTTTGCTGGATTCTGATTACAAACTCAGGGTATGTATAATGCTATGAACCAGAGCCTTGGCAATAGAGTGTGCTGCTGTCCCAGGGTGTGGGACCAGGAGGTAATTTTTGGACAGAACACTGATCTCAGGATTTTTTCCATCATCTAGGACCATGAAGAGCCAGCCAGCCCTATTCTGAAGGCTCTGGGAAGCAGATTAACAGACACACAGTAACCAACGATGGAACCTAGATTCCTGGGGAACAAGATATAAAAGAACAAATGTGTTTGTCCATTTCTTCATTTGCTCAGCATGTGTTTGTTTTATGTACTTATATAGATTCATTTATAATCTTCATTTGTATATATAAATATTTATTAATACATGATCATTTATAATCTTCATTTGCTTGGCATGTATTTATATATAATAATAAATGCTAGAGGGGATCCCAAAAACCCAGAATTATCTTTTAGAGGGTGGGCTTCTTGTAGTACAGGCTTCCCCCACTAGGTAAGTACTCTAGGAACCCATCAACATCAGTGGACCAGCTAGCATTGTTGTGAGAGGCTGCGTTCAGCTTCAGTAAATTTTTCTGTGGCAAACAGGTGACTGGTCTTCCACCACGACAATGCACCTGCCCACACTGTGCTGAGTGTTCAGCAGTTTTTGACTAACAATTACATGATCCTTTGCCTCACCTGTCCTAGTCACCGTATCACACCCTGAGCAACATTTTTTTGTGTCCCTGGATGAAAAAAGTCCTCAAAGGGAAATGTTTTGCCAGTGTGGAAGAGGTAACATCACAAAACAGCAGAAGCACTAAGAGGTATCAAAATGAAGAGGTTCAAAAATTGTTCTGAGTGGTGGAAAAAGCATTTTGACAGGTGTATTACATCAAATTGAGAGTACTTGGAAGGTGACTGAAATTTAAACATGTAAGAATAAATATACAATTTTTTATAAATAAATTCTGGGTTTTTTGGGTCCCCCCTTGAATAGTATATATATTTTCACCCCTACATATTATAATAATGCACCTATAATACATAAGTATGTAATACATATTTGTGTGTTTATCACATGTCCATTCTGATCCAGCCACTAGGGTGGTGCGGCTGACTGCTGAGAGCTAGGGTCACCCTGAGCACAGGGTTCAGCTCCTCAAGGAGTTGAAGCAAATGAATCCTGGCTTGCCCAATCTGTGGTTGATTTCCCAAATTCCCACTGGATTCAGCAACCTGGTTCTTTCCTGGTGGGGAGTGTTGTACCTATGGAAGGCGTCTCTCCACATAGGGGCCGGTGGTAGGCTGCAGGGGTCTGGGTAAAGCTAAGTGGCTGGTCCTGCTCTCGTAGAGCTCACAAATGACCCCAGGAAGGGAACTCTGTCTTCCCTGCTCCCTCAACTGCATCACTCCTGAGGCTCTTGTCTCTACTGCTTCAATTTGTGGGAACTGTAGTTGCCTAGTGAGTGGCTAATGTGCTTGGATGGGCTGGTGCATATTGCTTAAACTCAGGTAGTTGCTCTTCATATTTAAAGGCCAGTGCCCTCTGGGGAAGAGAGAGCAGCACTCTAAGGGACAAGGACATGTCCTTGTGTATGTGTCTGTCCAGGCCCCAGAGCTTCCAGTCCAGGCCTGTATTGAGTGAGTCCTGAGATGGTGGGTGGTGCTGGGGCCCGCAGGACAGCAAGAAGGTGCCAACTCACTTTCCACATGATTCAGTTTACTCACATTGCTTTGTGCTGTCACCTTCTGGGACCCAACACGTGGAATCCTGGAATGTTGGTGCAAGAAATAACCACAGACATTATTTTGTTCTAAAAACAAAGACACTGAGGTTCGGGGTAGTCCAGAGACATGCCGAAGTGATGCAGTTCAAACCAAATGCCATGTCTTCCAGGCCTCAGATCGGTGTGGGTGTTACTGACTTTTCCCAACACCAACTTAGTTTCCATTGATCCAAGTTGCCCTCTGCAAGCATCATAGCTAGATGGAACAGTTTTTTTGTCCAGGTGTGGTGGCTTATGCCTGCAACCCCAGCACTTTGGGAGGCCGAGGAAGGAGGACTGCTTGAGACCAGGAGTTCAAGGCTGCAGTGAGCTATGATGATGCCACTGGACTCCAGCCTGGATGACAGAGCAAGTGAGAATTTGTTTCTTAAAAGCAACTTTTCTTGAACCTAGCTATTCATCCATCCATCCATCCTTCTAACAAACACTCATGGAGCACCCTACATGCTAGGAGCTGTGCTAGGCCCTGACGGGGAGGATACCTGCTCTGAGAAAGGATGTGGCAGGGTCAGGGAGTGGACAATGACCTGATGGAGGTCTTAAGAGCGGGTGTATGTATGTATTTGCCTGTCATCTATCTACCTATCATCCACCTACCATCTATCATTTATCTATCTATCTATACATCCATTCTATTATCTATCTGCCTATCTGTCTTCTATCTACTATCTAGCATGTATCTATCATTTATCATCTATCTATCTAGCCATTTTATCATCTATCTTTCATCTGTCATCTATTATCTATCTCTATTAATCTTCTATATACTAATCTATCAATTATCTATTTTTCTATTTATCTATCATCTATCTCTCTATTAATCATCTATCTACCTATCTGTTGATTATCTGTCAATGATCTATCTCTCAATTTCCTACCTACCTATTGATAATCTGTATCTATCTATCTATCTATCTATCTATCTATCTATCTATCTATCTATGTTTTATGTCCTCGGGACCCAATGAGATTCCTGAATGAGTATAGATGGAGGAGAGACAAGAGTGAGAACTGAGCCAGGGGCCCCACCAAGTTGACAGGTTAGAATGAGACTGAGAAAAAACAGAGAAGGAGGGAGGCAAGGGGGGTGTTGTCCCAAGAGCCATGTGAGGAAAATCTTCCAGAGTCTGCCATACCTGTTCAGGATGTTTCTACTAGGAAGGTGACTCTGAGCAGGATTTAGCAGGAGAGGAGAGAAGCAGTGAGCCCAGGACTGATCCTGTGATGACAGGGACTGCTATGACATGAGCTGTGTGTGTGGAGGGGTATGGGGTGTGAGTAGGAAGGGAGATTGGGATCTGAGAAATTACCCTGAGCCAACCTTTCCTCAGGCAGTTGAAGAGTGGTTACAGAACATCCATTTGGGTATCACTTGGGCAACCCAAGGTGACCACTTCTTGCTCTGTGAGTTACAAGCATCTGGTGATAAGAGCCCAACTATACCTGTTGACACACCTCTCACCCTCTAGAGTGAAAGAGCAGAGAGGAAATTGTGTTGGGCCTCTGGAAAGGCAAAGGAACACCACTGAGATTTTCAGATGATGTCCATGACCAGAGCCAAATCAGGAGAACTTGTCTGTATTTGGGGATGAGACCTAGCTTCTTAGTTTGGCCTTTCTTAGTCTTTGTCCCTTGTTTCTAAAATTGAGTGTATCCCTGCCTCATCTGGGCTTCTGTAAGCATTAAGTGAGATAAGTTATGCTAAAAACAACTTATGGAGACCCAGTTCATTATAAAAATGCAATGCATTCATCTTCTTAATCTTTGTAACTTTTGCTACCCTTTTCTGTTTAAATTGAAACAGATGTGGGGGGCGGGTTGATTTCCATAGGAAGGGGGGTGGGGAATAAGAGGCTGGGCATAGTGGCTCATGCCAATAATCCCAGCACTTTGGGAGCCTGAGGTGAGAGGATTACCTGAGCCCAGGGGTTCAAGACCAGTCTGGGCAACTTGGTGAGATCTCATCTCTAAAATATATCAAGAAAAATTAGCTGGGTGTGGTGGCACATGCCTGTAGTTGCAGCTACTTGGAAGGCTGAGCTGAAAGGATTGCCTGAGTTCAGCAGGTCAAGGCTGTGGTGACTGTGAACAGCAAGCCACTGTACTCCAGCCTGGGTGACAGAGTAAGACTCCAACTCAATAAAAAAAAAAGAACAAAAAGCAGGGAAAGTGGTTTTTAGTCAATGAGTGTTTAGAAAACTTCAGGACAAAACAAGGAAGGTGACTGCAACTCTATAAGATTGTTTCCAGCCCGAGAATGACAAAGATGGTGGATACAAGGCTTCGTCTTGGATATTTAGACACAGCTTTACGACTGTCGGTGGAGTCCCAGAGAAGACTAGCATGTGGTCTGCCCTTCCAGAAAACCTGCTGGTGGAAGGAACCGTAGGGACTCGAGTTGGAACAGTTTCATGAGCAGACATCTGGGTCACACCCCCGTGCTTAGGAGAGTAGCTTGAAAGCTACTTCTCCCTCTTTCCCTCCTGACACCATCTCAGGACTCAGAGCTGCCATAACAAAGCTTGCCTCCTCTCCCACCAAACCCTGCTCTAAGTCACTGTCCTTGTGGCACCGTCTGTGCCGGGCAAGAATCTCTGGGAGCCCCAGGCCTATCCTCTGTCCTTGCAGACACCCAGGTGGGTGACCACAGTCTGTGAAGTCAGCCAGTCCTCTATCCATGGAACATGCGACACAGTGACATGACAGACCCCCAAACATCTGCTGTCTGTGGTTGGATCATGCCCACACAATGAGTTTTTGGAGAGGATGGTACCCAGACCTTTATGGCCTCTGCCACCAGCCCACCTTCAATTCCTCAGGGCCTGAACTTGACATCAGCAGTGTCACTCAGGAATCAGATCATCAAGGGAAGGGCTCTGCCTCGAGAAGGTACAAGGAGGGGTGTCGCCTGCCCAATGGCCCTGCTCAGGGATATGAGCTTGGGTGCCACAGGAAGCATGACGGGGAGTTTCACTGTGGGGAGAAGGCAAGAGGGCGTGGTGGTGGGCGTGGCCTCTGGAGCGTGGCAGTGAAGGCCTGAAAGGGAACGTCAGAAAGGTCAGGCTTTTGGTGATGGAGCTCTGGGGGAGAGTGGGGTCTGAATTTGGTTTTTGATGCGTCCATCTTTGGCGAGCCTTGCTGATGGCAGAGCCTCCGTCCTGGCCCTGAGGTTGAGACGTTTGCCGGAGTTACCCTCAGGTCAGGGGTTCCCGGGAGTGCCGGGTGCTCATTCAGCTGAGCGGGATCTGCCGAGAGCCTGCAGTGTGTCCCTGGGGACTGGCCTTTTAACCCCTTTTAGTGCTTAATTCTGCATGGCCTCATCCATTATCTCATGGGTCAAACTCATCTCTCAAGCCCAGAAGCAACACGTGCAGCTCCCACCCCCTCCCTAGTCCTGCTCCTCCCCCTGATCCCCCTCCCCCTCCTCGCTGCTCCAGGGCAGCCTCCAGGGCCGATGAAAACCTAAGCTACAGTGACGATGCTCCGCAGTGACAGTGGCAGTTGGCAATCAGGTGGTGGTGGGGAGGGGGGCATTTCAGGCCTCGCAGCCTCAGAAACCGTCTCACGGGCCACCTCCTTTCTCTACCCTTG